GATAATTAGGAGAAATGTATTGATACAATTACCTATTCTTTGGCGCTCAGACCTTGGCAGGAAACACAGCTCTTAATTTCGATAGATATGCATGACCAGGAGCAAAGAATAGGGTTGTGTCCCCCCAGGCCTGAAACTATGCTGAGCTTTATGGGCAGATCCAGTGGACTGCGTGAGCTGATACTAGAGCTTTACTAAGGGACCTGGAAGATGGAAGTCCAGTTGGATAACACAGGTTGAGAGAACCTGTCCATGATGAGCAAGCATGAAGAGACAGTGGAGAGGAAAAACACCCCGTTGGAAAGAAACCTCTGGCAGAACCAGGCTCAGCATGGCGTTCTTCTGCCGGACCGGTTGAGATGAGACAGGGAACGCAGTAAGAGTCCAGGAGGAATGAAACTAATGAAGCTTTAGCTACGATGGTGGAGGAACTGAACTGGTGTCATCTGAATGAAGTCACACAGCGCACACCGCCTGCGCACAGGAGCAGACAGGTGCATATCGGAGGCCTTTTAAGATGAACTTTGGATGCCGATTGGCTTTCGTGGAGGCGTGGTTCTAAGCTGATTGGCTGTGTTGCAGGTGGATATAGGAGAGCAATGAGTTTCTTTAGTTGAACTTCCGCCTAGGGTCCATTACTTCCCATCTTCCTTCCTTCCTTCCTTCCTTCCTTCCTTCCTTCCTTCCTTCCTTCCTTCCTTCCTTCCTTCCTTCCTTCCTTCCTTCCTTCCTTCCTTCCTTCCTTCCTTCCTTCCTTCCTTCCTTCCTTCCTTCCTTCCTTCCTTCCTTCCTTCAGAGCTGTAGAAAACTGAGTGCAAAGAACTATATCACTTTTAAAAGAACATTGTAAAGTATTCATACAGTAATGTAATATTATGAAGTCCCCTGGCAGATAGAGGAGGTTGGTTAATGAAGTGGAACTCTTGTACCCTCTACTGGTAAAGCGCCTTAGATTGTATTTTACCATTTTGCAAATATCACAGTAGGCTATAAAAACCACATGCAATCACTAATTTAAATTACAAATGAATAACAAGGGTTACAAGACCACCATTTAAAGGTTTTATATCCCTAATAACATAAACTGATTTATGTGACTAAATGAAAACTTATGGCATACTCAACCAAATGTTTATAAATATTCAAAGCTCATCTTTTATACTTTTACTTTCCGGTTGGTGCAACAAAGCACTATTTTCAAACACCACCTACTACAGGCTTTGTTTTCTTATGTATTTGAAATTTCATTTTGTATAAACTCTGTGTATACAAAATGACAATAAAATTTGTCTAAGTCTAATTTGTATTTGCGTTGAGATCAAAGAGGAATATATTTCAACTTGATTGCTTTGGTGCACAAATTTGGCTTGGAAAGCTGGTTCTAATCCGAAATATGTGAGCTGACTTCTCCACAAATCATTTCCAAGCTTTAATTTCCTGGAACAATGACCCAAACTGCTATAGCTTGCCACTGTCTACCCTAGCTGCTCAGTCAAATACTGACAATAATTCAACTTTAATCCAAAACTACTGATAACTATGGCAGACTTAGGTTTAGCAATCTTTTTAGCTTAAAATATGTTTCTTCTAACCTAAAAGAATCTTAACATCTTGGAATTTATAGTTTCAATTTAAATAAAGAATCTGAGTTTAAAATTGGGGTGATGACAAGGAACCCTTCCAAACTCAGTGTGAGCCTGTCACCCAAAGCAAACTTACAGGTTGAGTTAATGTCATGAAGATGAAATTCTCCCTGCTGATAATTACAGAGGGTTTAAATTGTTTTCAAAGAGCCATTTTAAAAATATGTTCTTTTTTGTTATTTCAGAGTTGCTTTAAAGGAGAATTCCGGTTTTTAACACTTTTAGCCCATTTTCTGTAGTGTCCAGGATGAAATCGAATGATCGACACCAAAATTTTGACAATTGGTCCTGTCTCTGCTTTTTGGCTCATTTAGAATCCACCCCTGGCTGCTTCAGAATGGCTTCCATAATGCATGTCCGATAATGTCCTTAAAACAACCTTAAACGTTCTTTTTTTAAAATATGCTACTCACCGGGTCGTCAGCGCTATTCAATGACGTTCCAAAAAAAGTTTCGTAAAGAAAAAACGTTCCTGTAGTGTTTTATTTAGCATTTTGTAAATCCCATTGAGTTCTGTTGGAATAGTCAATATTCCCCTGCCACCGGAAACGGAAATGGGGCCTGTTTACACAGTTGTAGTCTTTTCGCTTCACTCTGTGTACTCCGACGTCGAGGTGCTAACGTCTCTGTTAAACACTTTAAAAAACTCTGAAAATGGAATACGAAAGGTGGATTCTTGATTCTCGACGTCGGAGTACACAGAGTGAAGCGAAAAGACTACAACTGTGTAAACAGGCCCCATTTCCGTTTCCGGTGGCAGCGGAATATTGACTATTCCAACAGAACTCAATGGGATTTACAAAATGCTAAATAAAACACTACAGGAACGTTTTTTCTTTACGAAACTTTTTTTGGAACGTCATTGAATAGCGCTGACGACCCGGTGAGTAGCATATTTTAAAAAAAGAACGTTTAAGGTTGTTTTAAGGACATTATCGGACATGCTCTATGGAAGCCATTCTGAAGCAGCCAGGGGTGGATTCTAAATGAGCCAAAAAGCAGAGACAGGACCAATTGTCAAAATTTTGGTGTCGATCATTCGATTTCATCCTGGACACTACAGAAAATGGGCTAAAAGTGTTAAAAACCGGAATTCTCCTTTAATTCTATTAAAATGTTGTCTTTTCAAAGATACATTTGTGCACCCAAACATTCTTGAAGGGTAATTTTATCGACAGTTCATCTCAATCCAAATTAAGTCTAGACTTTGACTAGACCAGGGGTCTTCAACATTTTCCAAGCCAAGGACCCTGCGAGGGATTTGAACAAACCAGCCAGAAAGCCACTGAAATCTTTCAAAAAAAGTCTTAAGTTATTCCAAAAAATGTGTTCAAAAAATGATACAGTAAGCTGGGCCCAAACACAGAGGTCAACAAAACAGAATTCAATTCAGGCTTTAAACATAAAGAACTCAAGCACAAACTGACCTAACAAACAAGACATGATGGAAACTTAAATAGTGGCTGATCAGACCACTGTTGACACACAAGTGGGATAACTGACTATCAAACTAACAAAAAAATAAACATAATTAAACAGATAAATACTGGCCAGACACTAAGCACTTTTTAAATTTGACTAATTAACAAAATTACCCAAACTAAGAATATTTAAACAAATGATAAACAAATTTCCCTTCCCATTACAAAAGGTTTGACTCGCTGATTAGCCTGCAATAACCATTTGAGGAAAGCTGGAGCTCCTTGTAGCCCTCCACCAGCAGATCCAAATAGAACTGGCAACTCAAAGAAAAAAGAAATTAATCAATTGCATCTTGACATAAAAACAACCTGACAAATATAGTTCACTAAATGTGTGCACTGCAAAAAGCTAACTTAAATTCAGACTAATGAAAATGAAATGTGCAACTCATTTTGAAAATGAAAAATGTAAAATTGACCACACAGCTTCAGAGTGTGACAGCAGGCTGTCACAGACCCCCAAACTGATGGTAAGATGGAGCGGGGACCCCCTAATTATACATATAATAGGAAATTGTGTAATATCAAACTGGTCCTATAGTCACTCTATTACAGATGGAGTCATGTAACAAAAGTAATTTCTCCCTGGGATAATTAAAGTATTTCTGATTCCTGATTGATGGGACAGGTGTTGTGAATGAAACGGTGCCCAGCTTGAAAGAGCTCCTGTGTGTGGCTGAATGTGAGCATTGATGACTGAAAGACATCTTCTGCCTCCATTTATCTGTTTACTACAGTCTGTTGAATTCATGGTAATGTGGATTTAAAGACATTTCAATTAGTGGAAAAAATTGCAGAGGGGAATAAAAAATAAAAAAAAGTCTTATCAACAAGAAACATTTGTGACCACCATGCAGTACCTGTATGGACACCTTAGGGGTGGCTGACCCCCTGTTGAAGACCTCCAGACTAGAGCAGTGTGTCTGTCAGCTCATTGCACTTCTACCAAATTTCAGTGTGGAAACCATGAAAAGGATCCTTGTCATCTGTTTTCTATCTGTCTTTTCTCCTCCTAACCACTCATGAGTCAGCAGGGATGCCATCGATCCTATGCAGGACTTCAGAACCTGTGGGACCTTCTCAAATTGACTTCCCCTTCATTGACCTCCACTAGTTTGTCCCCTCTGCTGCTCCTCAGACCCCACCAGCCAAGGAAAAGAAGAATGATTGAAGTGAGCTTTGAATTTACTCACTTTCTCTCTGATCATTTATTTCTAATTGGTTTTCATCTTGTAACCCTAACCATGGGTTGTTTATTCTTACCCTCCTATTTCTAAATCATAGAAGGTGATTTAAAAATTAATAAAAGCTGTTCTGGAATCTTTCATGTCCTACTGGATAAGCTCTTTGCACAGTCTTGTATTAATGTGGATTCGCCAGCATGATCTGGGATGGTTCCTGTTCTATACGTTTCTTTTTAATTGATATTTTCAATGTAGCTGGCGAGACTTTAACATTAAAACAAAGACTTTGCATCTTGTTTTTTCTCTGGTTTGGAACTGGGCATCATGTGTTGCTTTTTTAGACCTTAAAGCCTAATTCCTGCTCAAAGGTAGGTCCTTTCTTAGCAAGTTAGAGACCTAGCAACCGTAAGAGCAGATCATTTAAGTGTTTCTTATATATTCTGTACATCTATAGGCTTTATAGTGACATACAAAATACAAAAATCTAAATTAACAACTTTTTTCATGTTCGGGACAGATTTGAATATAAACCTTTAAAGGATTTTCTTTTAGAGTTAGTGCTGTGTGTCTGTCAGTCTTTTGTCTTTATCTCTTTTTAAGATATAGATCAAATCATGTTTTCTGCAAACTTTACTATAAATGTCTGACCGAACAAATGCTTGGAGCCTGAATGCTCAAAACCAGACACTTTTATGATGATTGCCACGTCTCTTTATTCACCACAACACTGCAGAAAATGAAACACAGAAAAACATGTATCACCACTGAACTCCTTGGAAGCACTCTTTGCACTGATGGCCACAGGGTGAAAAATAGAATCCCTTCTAAAAGAAAAGAGAAATGTTGAGTTTTATTTTTGAGGTAAGTTGCAGAAGGTAAACAAGTTGCAGGAAACACTGTGTGATCTGTCAGAGCATGAGAACAGAAGTCGCCACTCAGATGTTTGTGTAGCTTGTTTTTCCATGTTCCACTGTGTTATATGTGAATCTGTTCAGTCCATTCTGAGAAAGTTATTTAGTGATCACAGCCAAACAGCTCCAGGGATACCCTATGCTGCTCAGGCAGGATCTTGGAGGCAGCCATCAACATGACGCTCCCAAAGTGGTAGAAATGGTTTCCACTGATCGCCGTAACTCCATGTGGACCGCACATAGCAGCATCCACCCTGTTGAGGACAGAGATGGAACGCGGGTTTGTGGGAACGCGGGGGTTAGCGCTCATGTCTACGTCATAGATGTGTTGACCTGGAAGGCAGCAGGGAGGGAGACACAAGAGAGGATGTCATTTATATGGTACACTCCAAGAGTTTTCCTGTGTACTCTTACAATGTCAAAAACGTGTGAGTTTAAGTATTTAACATTTCTGAATAAAAAAAAGACTGGAAAGAGTAGCTATAGATTTGCAGACTGTATTCCCTATTTATCTTTTTTTTCTCTCTCCTTCATAATGTATATTTCATTTCAAAGATGCATTATCAAAGTGTAGAAACTGACATATCAAATCTATAAATATGTATCATGGGGTGGATTATTCATGAGGTTAGGATTTAAAGAGCAATGGATTCCTTTCAAATTTCATATGTTTTTTTTAATATGTAATGTTTTGTTTTTGTTGACTCTTTATCAAGATTTATTTTCATTATTTTCTTTCATTATATTTTTTCTTGACATGTTAGACTTTCAATTTGGACTTATTTTCTCTTTTCTGTCTTTCCAGTATCAGTCCAATGGTTCATTCCTTTTCCTTCTTGTAAGTTTCCATTCCTTGCTTCCTCACTTCCTTCCTGGCCTAACTGCAGTATTTAATTTGATCATGTCCTTTTTACCTATATTTTTCAATACTTTATTCCTCCCTTGTTTTCTGTCTTCATCCTTAAGTTGACTTTGTCTTTAGTTCTTTGCTATTTCTTCCTTCCATTTTGTCCCTCCTTCAACCATTCAGCATTTTCAATGCGGCTGAGCAGTGGGTAGCACTGCTGCCTTGCAGCAAGAAGGTTGTGGGTTCAATTCCTTTCTCCATGGGGTTTGCATCTTTTCCCTGACCTTGTGTGGGTTCTCTCTGGGTACTCAGGCTTCCTCCCATAGTCCAAAAACAGGACTGTTAGGTTAATTGGCCTCTAAATTCTCCTTAGGTGTGAAGGATTGTGTGTGAATGGTTTTTTGTCTCCGTGTTGCCCTGCGATGGACAGGCGATCTGTCCAGGGTGTATCCCGCCTCTTGAGATAGGCACCAGCACCCCTCATGACCCCACTTGGGATAAAGCATGCCAGAAAATGGATGGATGGATTTTTTTAATCCTTACTTTCTTACTTCTATGCTGCTTTCATACTTAAAGCTGTGAAAGAAATCTACCTTGGTAATGCTGCGTTCACACCGGGGGCAGCTGGCGCGACAGAAGCAGCGAGTTTACATGCAAAGTCAATGGTTGACGCGCGTCAAGGCGCAGCAAAAGGTCCCGCGGCGCGTTTCGAGCAGCAAGCGCAGCGCGTCTGAGCAGCTGAAGCAGCGCGTCGGGCGCGTTTTGGCATCTGACGCGCGTGATGCGCCACAAACGCGTTGCTGCTCGAGATGGAAAAATTGAATTTTTGCTGCTCGACGCGCCGCGTCAACCAATCAGAGAAGCTGATCTGGGAGCTGGCTGGGAGAGAGACACAGCGCTGATGACATAGACCGCTCTGATTACTCCTCTTAAACAGTTTATTAACGCATAATTAACTTAAAATATATACATCTGCCGGCAGAATATGTTCGCTTTTATTATTGTGGTGCCTGCAGATCGGATTATTTAGATGAAAAACACCTACCAGCCGCCGCGGTAAACCGCGAAGAGGCGACCCGCCAGAGGCTGCTGATGAATGGATTCCTTCTGTCGGCGCACCGCCGGTATGTGGGGGTCTGAGCGGCTCCGACAGAAATAATATTGGGAGGCAGGATCGTAATCTGGATGAACTGACTGCACTGATGAAGTTTTCAGGTGTATTTTCTCACTTAAAAACATATTAAAACTACTTTATTCCCACTGATCACAGCAAATATAGCTGCAAGGCAGAGAAAGGATAGTGAAGCTCCGCCCAACGCGCGTCAGACACACTTTTGGACCGCGCAGGCAGAGCAGCAAAGCTGCTTCAGCCGCGCGTCAGAACTAACTGGTACAAGCAGCAAAAATGAAGCAGCAGACGCGATTTTGCTGCTTTTGCTGCCCCCGGTGTGAACGCAGCATTAGTATGAACCAGGTGAACTGTTGTGTTTTATGGTTTAATTTTAGGGTAAAATACTAACATCTGTTGAAAATGTAGTTTGAAAGAATAATATTCTAATGTTTTGAAATCTCAAATACAATATAGCGGAAATTTAAAATGTAATCTTTTGTTATCTAATGATAATTTCAAGGCAAAAAAAAAATAATTAAACCAAACAAAACCAAACTACATATTACTCTTCCAAATGTTCTCAAGTATAAGTATAGAAAGATTTATTAGTAAGCTAAAGGGCTTCTCTTGTTTGTGTTATTCTAAAGATGAGCTAAAGCTGTCAAAGCTCAGGAAGGAACTCTAACAAATTTTTGTGTTTTGAAATCTGTATTATATACATTCAACCTTCTGTACCGTCAGTTCTTGCATTCAGCTTTTCATGGTGGTCTTACCTTTGATGATGTGAGCGATGTGATGGTCTTGGCAAACAAAAGCAGCATCAATGGGGCCCTCAATTCCCAGCTCCTCTTTCACAGGTTTGGGATAACCCTCCAGGTGTGTGTGTGGCTCACCAACTTTGTAAACGAACAAATGGTCATCCTGGGAAGAACAGAGAGTTAGTTTTCCATTTTCCGTGAACTAACAAGGACAGCTTTGGTTTATTTCAAGGAACAATTTACCTTAATCATATAGAGATGATTCTGATAGGAGAAAACTGCATCGACATCGCTGTGCAGCTCTTTGAAGGCGCTTTCAATTGTGTCAGATTTCAGTGTGTCGTTGCTGTCTTTGCTAATAAAATGGTGGCCTGGAAAATCAAACCAGGTTAAACAACTGTCAGCTGGTTTTTGTTTCTTAATTTTAATTTGGAAGCATGTAAATTCCATGTAAATGAACGTTATAAACCTTAGATTCTATATTTCATAATTTATAAAAACATGGAGGCAACAGTGCATTGGCATCTTTGACAACATTTTTCACATTTTTCTGATATGAAGACACTAAACATAATGTAAAAACTAAAATATATACATAAATATGGACGTCATATGTCACCTCTGAATGCATAAATATTTCCCTCATCATCAGATGTGATGGCATCCAGGTGAACACGGCTGCAGCGCTCTCTCTCCAGATGGTCACTGTCATCACCTGAAAATGGAAAATAATATATTACAACTTTGTCTTTACTTAATTTTAACAAATGATTTACTAGAACTGGCATCCTTTAAATAGTTCCTCAAAACCAAAAATTGCCCAAATTAGGATTTTCCTGGACTATTTTGAGGATTTTGCTCAGGTGCCAATTTTTGCAAATTTATGTATTAGCAAAATCTGATGTTTTTTTTTTTCTTCCATATCTTTTCCCTGCTTTAACTCTGTTTTATTTTCCTATATTTTAATCATGTAAAGCACTTTGCATTGTCTTTGTACTGAATTGTCTTTGTACAAATAAATTTGCCTTGCCTTGCCTTTAGCTAATTTTTGATTGGATTGAAACAAGTGACACTGATTGTTGAATCATTAACTGACCAGGAATTGTAAACTTTTGATGCATATCTTGAATTTAATTTTCATTATTTAACCTGCTCTTAAATGACTATAATCAATCTACCAGAAAGCATGTTAATGTCTGGTCGACTCTTAATAGAGTAATGAATTAGCCTTACATTACTAATGTCATCAATGCAGACAATCTAGTGAAAAAAGACTACAATTTGTATCTATGCATAAACTTGCTCTTATGCAAATAAGAAATATATTTAGAGCACTTTGCTGCCATCTAGTGACCAGTAATGGCAAATTATTTAAAATTTCTCAAATATGGACTGCATGTCTCATATACACATATATTTCATTTGCAAGTATATTTAAGTGAATATTTTTTTGTATTTAGGGTTTCTTTGATGGACATTAATTAATTGGTTGCGTGCATAGTTTATCCTTTATTGTAACTGTAAATAAATGTAGACGTTAATTAATTTGTTGCGTGCATAATTTATCCTTTCTTGTAACTGTAAATAAATGTAGGTGGTAAAGAGCACCACTGCTGGGATCTGATCTGCACTTACTGAACTTGGAGCACCTCATGAAGTAGTCGCGGGCCTCTTTAGGGTATCTGCCATGCACCTCGCCGGTCTTTGGGTCAAACTTGGAGAACTTGTGTCCATGGAAGCAGTAGTAGTGCTCCATGAAGCGAAAAGCCGATGTGCAGTTTGGCATGGAGTGGAACTCCTTCTTGTCCACAGCTTTGGTTTTTACATTGTAGTGGTAGATGTCATCTTCTGTAAACAAACAAACAACAAAACAAGATCATATGAAAAGAGCCTGATGCTAAAATGTGTCTTTTCTTCTTATTCAGAGATGTTATCAGATTAGACTCAGATTTGGCCACATCTGGACACTGACGCTTGAAGAAGATCACAGAGTCTTCATCGCAGTCCGGCTTGGGACACTCTACAGCAGCATCAAGGTGGTCTGGGATTCCAGGAAAGACCTCGGAGATATCCTTAGGGTAGCCTTCATTAATTTTGTGTTGGTAGTAGCAGAACACCTTTGTGTCCTGCATCAGATTGAACTCACTATTACTACACAGATCATCAAACAAACCTGCAAAGAATTTGCTGTAAAATAGGAACCTCAAGATGTCTGTTTTTTAGCGCTATGGGTTTTGGAACTTTGTTTTAATGTCTAATTGTCTTTTTGGTACAAAACCGAGAAGACTGGTGGATTTTTCCAACACCATACCAGGAAGAAAAAGATGCGATCATGGTGGGTGGGTTCATCCTCATAGTGCATGCGGAAAGCAGCATCAACATGGCCCAGATGGTGGTCATCCAACTCTGCGAAAGACCCATTTGACAGCTCTGCTTTGCCATGGAAACCCTTAAACAGGTGGTCGCCTGACGGGAAACACAAGCATTATAGAAAACTGACCTTTTCTACAAACGGAAAAATAATTTACCAATACATTCACCTTTGAAAAAGTAGGGGATTCCCTCCTCGTTCACAGTGACAGCATCCATTTCAAGGCCTTTGCAGCGGTCAAGGACAGCTGTAGAATATGGTGATAAAAGGAGGAACTTACTCTGGGGATATAAAGACTATTTTCATATTTGTCAAAATTATAGTTCTTGTTAACCTACCATCATGGTGTTGATGTTCATGATGGTCATGATCTGCGTGATGACTGAAATAAAAAGTCCATAACTGTCTTACTATACATTAAGTTGAAATTCAAAAATCAACAGTTTCTTAACAGCTCATTGTTTGTTGTAGTGAATTCTATCACAATATTTCTATGCCCTGACTACAGGCTCAACACTGTGTGCAATTTAGCAGTTTGTTGATTTGCAACCAGTAACTTATTACAATAATTTAATTGTTGTAACTGAAGCAATAAATACCAGTATAACCTTCATCTTTATAACATTATTGTTGAACCAGGGGTGACAAACAGCTTGATCCAGCACTATAAACATGACAAATATGCACTTTAAGCTTAGTTTGAGGTTAATTGAAATTGGTTGCATAATAGGAACATAATCAACCTGCAGCTGCATAAAATGTTGAAAACTAAACTCATATTCCAAAATGCCTTATTGTTGTTCATCTAAGTTAAAATCAAGGCTACTTACTCAGCCCATGTCAGAGCAAGGGCCAGACACATGAGCAGAATGTGGGACAGAAGCTTCATGACGACTTGTCCTCTGGTCCAGTAGGTCAGAGAGCTGGGCAAAAGGTACCAAAGCTGCTGCAGCAGCAGCATCTATTTATATTCCTGCAAAGTTGACGTGGGTGGCATCATGATAGGCACCATAGGGAGGGAGGAAAACGCTTTTGCACAGTGTGTCTTTCACAAAGACGCCCACTCACAGTGGGCGTCTTTGTGAATCGTGACCTTTAGATCTTGAACCCAGTTCTTCAGAGATTCAGCAAATTTATAAGGTTTTTTTTGCCTAATGAATGAACTCCAATCAGTGGATCAGTAGATCAAGTCATTTAGATGAATCAGGTTTAAGCACAACCATGGTTGGTTTGCTAGAGATACGCATTCTGAAGAATATACTTTTGGTGTGTCCTTATAAGATGATTGATGGGTCTACATTTTTTTAAATAAATAATATTCTGCATTTAATGCACTTAAATGTATATATATTTTTGATAACAATGTAATGATGGAAAACTTATGTTGAATTCTATAAAAACTATATTGCATAATAAAAAGCATGTCACATGAGTCTAATATCACAACTACATTTATTTTTAACTGTACTTTTCCAGAACCTTCCAGAATGGGACCAAATTGCTGGTGGGAAGAGTTCCAACTCTGGTCCAGCTTTAAGAGATAACTCCCCCCAGATGTCCTCCCAAAATAAATAAAAACTGCTGACAACTGCACTTCAAAACCTTCCCGACAAAGTGTGCTGCAACGATCATATGGTGAACATTAACTTTAAATTGATTCATCATATGTAAAACCTATCTCTGAATTAAATGTGCTCTATTTTCATTTCCTTCATAGCAATTCTGCCTTACAGATTACATAAAATGCTCTTTGTTTACTTAATGTTACTTAAACTTAAGTTTTCCTGTGGTAAATTATTACCGTATGTTTATTAAAAGTAATTTCAATGTATCAAACCACTTCTGCAGCTTCTTAATATGGAAGAAAAAATAGAGGTTTATAAAGGAGATTATTCATAAGTGAAAAGAAGAGAACCTTTAAATATTTCCATTGGATCTGGATACAACAGGAATAATCAAGGAGAAAAGCTTGCAGGATGGATCAGATAGACAACAAAAGATAAATCTGCTCTGACTGAGAGGGAACTACAATTATAAGTACAGATGATTGCTTAAAAGTATACAGGTTAGTGATAGAGATTCATTGAGACTAGCTGGGTCCGTTCAGAACCAGAACCTCTACCTGGAATTGACAGAATAACCACAGAGAGGACAAAAGAGGTGAAGATCACCCTGAATATCAGGATGACAGTAGAGAGAGATCTGATTAAGTTATCCGGACCGCTGCTTGGTTAAAGATGATTCTCGGATGCTGTCGATGGTGGAAAAGCTGCTAATTGTGGCTGATCAGAGGTCTAGAGGTGAAGGTTGTGGAGATACAGTAGATATTGATGCTGGTTTTGGAGACAATGTCAATTTCAGGAGCTTTAGTAGAGTTAATTTTCTTTTCTGCTTTTTTAATTGTCATTACATTGTCATAGCAACTACATACACTCTCTGCATATAAGCCATCCCCTTAGGGAGCAGTGGGCTGCCGTGGTGCGGCGCCCGGGGTAAAGGGTTTTTGCTCAGGGAGCCAGAGTGGCAGTCTGTGGGAGTGGGGTTCAAACTCAGAACCTCAGGATTCCAAGCTCTATGCCCTAAAACTAGGCCGCCACTCCATGATGCAGATGATGATGTACTAAAGATAGAGGTTCGTAGAGGACGCAGGTGTGAAAAAAGACTTTGGAAATGTTAATGATGATATTGCTGCCTAAAAAGATTTGGCCAACTTGGGGGGAACGTTCGTAACAGTGGAGGCAGGCGATGGTGGAGAGCCTGACTGTTAAGATGATGTTGGTGACAATTAGTCTAGAGATGACCATGAGTTTGCTAAAAAAAAACATTGCTCACAAAAAAAATTAGTTAGGTAAAACTACTGTGCCTTACTTTAAGAGGAAAAAAATACAATGTCAAATTTACCAGTGCAAAATTGTACTTATATTAAAGTGAAAAGTACCTCATTGAACCTTCCCTTTAAGTATCATTTACTGTTTATCTTTTATGAACAGAAGAAAGTGCATCTTAAACAGTTTTCTAAAGGGAAAGATAAGCCTGGTCTCAAGCTGTTTATGATTAAAGGAGAACCTTTATGAATGAAAAATATAACATGTCAACATATCAAATAAATCCTTTACCTATGTAAAGTAAATCCACAAATCTTGGTACCTTAAGGCACTTCAGTTAGGAAATTTAAAGATATTTGGTAGATAATCTGTGTTTTTTCATGTGACATACTGAAAATGTCCAATATTCTACGTGCACAACATTATTTATAATGTATATTTGTTGTGTCTATGGATTTTTGCAGCTGATCGTTTCCTCCTTCCCTACATCTATGATGCTCCACTGTGGTTTTCCTCCTCCCCCTCAGAAGCAGGTTTCTTTGATCTCTATCTATCAAAATCAAGGGAAAGGGCGCTTTTAGTTGCACCAATGATACATTTTTGATGAGCAGGATTTTCCACCCTTCCTCATAATTTCTAGTTATTAATTTGAGCTGCTAATCCAGGCACTGATTCAGTGTTGCCGAAAGCTGGTGCCCTAAAACATAATCAATCCCCTCATATTGTTTCTGTATATAGCTCATATCAAAAGATTAACCCTCAACCTTTGTAGGATTCATATAGTTGCCCTTTTTTTGTTTCTCTTTTCAGAACAAACTTGTGTTCCTTGCAGTTAGGAATGTTTTTCTCAGTACCATCTCTATGCTGTTGGTTATATTATTTTCTTTTTAATGATTTAGCAAAAATGATTTAGTGCAGGTTTATGTGACAATGTTCAGGTGGACAAAACCTTTGCAAACAAAGTGAGCTAATGTTGCACAACAGTGCTGCATAGAGGTCTGCACACAGTAATGTTTGGGACATCAACCTTGACTGAGGAAAACAAGAGGCACGTTGTTCACGTACATTTGCCACCGAGTCAAAGGTTCCTCTTGACTGTCCTAAATGCAGACAAGTTAACTTCATATATACCGCACATATATATTTAGCGTACAGGTCTGTATATTTCGCTTAAAATATTAAACTAGACACAAAGTTGCTAGAATAATTTCAGATTCTAGACATATTTTTTTTTTAATTAACTGGCTTGGAAAACATGGTTATTCTGTGAATTTCTTCAAAAAAAAAAAAAAAAAAAAAACTTTTAAGGCACAGTCAGGGCCACAATCAATTGATCTTATGATACAAACCGCCTGTAAGAAGAGACGCTTTGCTTTGCTTTGATAATTGTATCCCTGAGTTCAGACACTGATGTGTGGGAAAGCCCAGTTTCCAGTATTGTTTTAACTCATAAGAAAGGTGTTCCAGTTGGTTAAGCCAAGAATTTTTAAGTTCTTTCTTACTAAAATCTCTCTTGCCTCTACCTTGCACGGTGCACACTCTTGTTTGAGCAGGAATAGACCTACAGTATCCCCCAACTGTTACCACAAAACTAGCGACATGAAATTGTCAAAATGTCCAAATATTCTGAACAATTAATGCTGTATTTCTGTAGAACTAAAGGTTCTTTATTACACTTTGCTCTTGATGTTTGCTACACTGTAAACCCCAACAGGTTCAATGAACTCAAAATATTTGATGAAACTGATTACCTCAAAATATTTAGCTATGTTAAAGAATATATTAAGTTATTTCTACTTAAAATGAGACTTTTGTTAGTGCTCAAAATCTTTGAGGACAAGGATAAAATTAAAAAGAATAATGTGAAAAAAAGATGTTTTAAGTAATTACTACATTAGTTAGACAAGCTCTTTACACTTAAAATCTTTGGTCAAATGAACAACATTAAAACAAATAATTTCAACAAACAAACATTTTAAGTAATTACTACTCTAAACTAGAAAAGTTATTCACACTCATTTATTTTGAGGAAGTTGATTAACTGAAACATAATAATTTCACAAACTAACATTTCAAGTAATCACTACTTACATTTTTGATAAGTTTAATGAACCTGATCATTTTGAAACTAATGTTAAAACTAACAAAATTGACACTGGAAACGGAGTTGATTTTTTTAAGTTATTACCCCTAATAATATCTTCATGTTATCACCATGACTCATTCAGTTTCTCAGACCTAAACATTGTCAATTCAGCCTTTTATATTTTTAAGTTGACTTAACTGTATTTAAACACATTTTATTGCCTGTATATGTTAGTAATTTTTCTCAAAATCAAATATATTTTATTTGTATGATTCAAATAAAAAAATATTCAAAAGACAATTTTACTGCAGATTCCATTTATTTATGAATTCCATTAGAATTCAGAACAATGTCCCCAGCAATGGGGTTAATACAGAAAATAAAATAAATAACAACCACATTTTCAATCAAAATGCTGAATAATTACGGTTTTATTTATTCAGCAAATAAAACCGTAAAAGATCT